TTGCCAAGAGAATCAATGTGCGTATTGAGCATATTAAACATTCTAAGAGCAGAGATAGCTTCCTAAAACGTGTGAAGGAAAATGACCAGAAAAAGAAAGAAGCCAAAGAGAAAGGTACCTGGGTTCAACTAAAGCACCAGCCTGCTCCACCCAGAGAAGCACATTTGTGAGAACCAATGGAAAGGAGCCTGAGCTACTGGAACCTATTCCCTATGAATTCATGGCATGATGGGTGTTAAAAATAAACTAATCTGTAGTCTATTTAAAAAAAAAAAAAAGAAAGCTGCACAAATTTCACAAATGTTTCCTTGAATTTTTACACTTACTTATTTTTCCCATGAGCCACAGAAATAGAGAGAGGAGAGAGCAGGAGAGAGAGAGCACTCCAACAGGGTCTTAACACTGCAGTCCATCCCGAACATGGACACGTGCATGCCAATGTACTCGGGGAGGTCTCAGAATTGAACCAGGAACCATTCCATTTGGGATTGCCTCACAGGGGTCTCATGTCACCATGCCACTGCCAGGCCCTGTGTTGTAGGACAGTGTCGAAGTTGGGGTTTAGGGCGACATGCTCAGAGCTCATCTCGCCCTTTCCCCTGTTTGGTACCTGTGCAAATGTCAGTACTTGAAAATGGCCTCCCCGGGAAGCCTCAGAATCCTCCTGCACACAACAGCAAGCAGCAGCTCCTCATTTCATGGCACTTGCCTGCAGGGTGTTTTGTTGTTGTCTGCATCGACAATCTTTCTCCACAGTACCCACAACTCATTAGGGAAGCAGTCTCATAAATAAGCAGAGGTTCTTGATCTTACCACAATACAAGAAGCCAGAATAAGTAAAATAAAATCAGCACTTTTATAGTAACTTCATTCTTTTCTTTTTTGGAGAGGTTTTTGCCATAGGGAGCGTGCGCTCACCAGAAAGACAGAAAGAGAGACAGACAGAAAGCGAGAAATCCCCCCTCCCTGGGGGGGATGGTCATGTTGCAGTCCCTTCTCCTTTCTCCTCTTGGGATCATGGGCACGCATGCACATGTGCCCAGCATGAGTTTTAAGCCACCAGGTCCAGGACTCGAACCACGATCGACTATGTGAGATTCCAGCGACATGGCTATTACGTTAACTGCTGGTCCCAATAACTTCATTCTTATGGATAATTGCCAAGTAGACTTACTGGTGGTTTTGTCTGCCCCATCTCTGCAGTGTAGTAAGAGAAAAATAACTGTCATCTCTAGAGGAGGCTGGATTAGAATCAGCAAGTCCAGAGAAGAAACAATTTGTGAGTTACAAACAGAAATGCTTATATGGGCTACCAGCTTGTCTCCTCAGGACATTGTAGAATATCATAGGTCGTAGTCTTTCAACACAGACACAAAAGAGTGCTCTCTTCTTCTTACTTTATTACAGGAAACCTAATGTAGTGTGATGGTGATAGTAGCCAAGGCCATGCGTCAAGGTTGGGATGACCGTGGTGGGATAATAGGCGCCATGGGGACTGTGGCACCACAGGTGCTCATGTCCCATCTAAAAAGACAGTTAACATGTGGCCAGTGTAGTGCTGCTAGGTCTCTTGTGTTGTGTGTGGTTTAGTTTTTTTTTTTTTTTTCAAGCAAAGTTGTGAATCTAGATTTTTGTGTGAAATACCATTGTTAAGTATGAGGAAATCTTCAAAAGGTTCATGGGAAATGTGTATTATAAAAAAAAAAAAAAGAAGAAGAAGAATGGATTTCAAAACTGTTACACCAAAATAATCTAATCTTGTACTTTAATTTCTTTTCTCCCCAAACCTTTTGGGGTCCCCTCATATTGACTACTTAGTTTTAAAAAGTTTTTAAATCCTGGGACCAGCAGTTAGTGTAATGGCTATGTCGCTAGACTCCCATGTAGTAGACCGCAGTTCACGTCCCGGACCCGATGGCTTAAAACTCACGCCGGGTGCGTGTGAGTGCATGCCCAAGATCCCGAGAGGAGAATGGAGGAGAAGGGATTGCGGCGTGGCCATACCCCCTGGGGGCTGATTTTTCATTTTCTGTCTCTCTGTCTGTCTGGCAAGCTCACGCGCCCTACAGCAAAAACCTCTCCAAAAAAAGAAAAAAGTTTTTAAATCCTAAAATGAGTCAGCATGGTGCAGGCTAAAGAGGACACAGCTGGTTCATGGGCTGCCATTCGGCAGTTTCTGAGTCTTGCCCTAGTATTGTTGACACACAACAGATAGTAATCTGCCTCTGACTACAAGTAAACTGGGAGACTAATATTGTTGATATCTAAGCAAATGGGAAATACCGTCCCTGTCTTGGAGAGACTCATAGGAGGCAGTTAAAGAAGTGGCTTAGAGATGGGACCAGCAGATGGCATAATGGCTATATTGCTGGATTCCCATGTAGTCGACTGCAGTTCAAGTCCCAGACCCGGTGGCTTAAACTCAGGCCAGGCATGTGTGCGCACGTACCCAAGATCCCAAGAGGAGAATGAAGGAGAAGGGATTGTGGTGTGGCCATCCCCCACTGGGGGGTGATTTCTCACTTTCTGTCTCTCTGTCTCTCTTTGGTGAGTCCACGTGCCCTATAGCAAAAACCTCTCAAAAGAAAAAAAAAAAAAGAAATGGCTTAAATTTGTGATCCTCAAATTTTAATGTGCTTAGGACTCTCAGGTGATGTGGTGGTTGAAGTGCTAGACTCCCACATGGTCAACCACAGTTCAAGTCCTAGACCTGGCGGCTTACTTTCTCTTTCTCTCTCCCTCCTCCTCTGGTGAGTGTATGTGAATGTGCCCTATACTAAATTAAAAAGAATAATAATGATAGTGTGAAGAAAGGAATCAAGGAGAAAAATAGAGAAACAAGACATTTATGGGACACAGAAATGTATGATTATCTGTTGATAACATGTATAATATCTTCAACTGAATTGGTGTGAAGTATGTTCATATTGGGTAAATTCACTTTACGAGCTGTAGTGACGTATAGTTATTGAATGTATAAAATAAAATAGCGATAAATAGATTTAAATTTTTAAAATACTCTTAAAAATATATCTTTTAAATTTTAATGTGCATAAATTTTCCCCAAAAGACTTTAAGTTCAGTAGAATTGGGGTGAAATTCCCATTGTGTCCTGAACGAGGATGGGATCAGGAAGCTACATGTTTAACTCCCCTAGTGATCTGGCATCAATTTGGTTCTCAAAAGCTCTGAATCTAAGGATTCCTCTCCCAGGGATAGCAGGATATCCTTGGAGACCCTGCAGCATGATTCCCGTGGGCTTCTGTCGCAGCTCCTTGCCAGGACAGAAGCACACACAGATAGAAGACGTGCTCAGAGCCATCTGCTATGGAGGAAGGTGACGCAGCTCTTTCCTGTCCCCTCAGGAGCACTGTCCATGATGCCAGCTGTTCACACATTCTCTCTGTTTGCGGGAATGGCCGTCCTAATTGACTTTATTCTTCAAATGACCTGTTTTGTGAGTCTCTTGGGGTTAGACATTAAACGTCAAGAGGTAAGTTGTTATCAGGATTATAGTCTGTTTAGTTTTAATCTAGAGTCTAGATAATGAAGCAAGAGATGTGACCTTTGTTTCTCTCTGTCCCCTCAGAATAATCAGCTGGACATCCTTTGCTGTGTCAGAGGTGCTGAAGATGGAACAGGCGTTCAGGCCTCAGAGGGCTACCTGTTTAGCTTCTTCAAAAACTTCTACTCTCCACTTCTCCTAAAGGACTGGATGCGACCAATTGTGGTATGAGCTAATCTATGATTTCTCTTTCTTCACCCCAGAACAGGTGGTCACATGCTTTCTAAGAAATCAGACAGCTTAGGAAGGGGCTTCTGATAGGTGTTATGTGTGTGTGTTTGTGTGTGTGTACACACAAACACAAAAGCAAATAAGTACAAATAGGTGACATGTTCTTCTCAGTCAGCATAAGCAAGAAGTTTTAAGTTTTTATCTTGAAATACTTACAGAGTCGCAGGAAGTTGCAAAGGTAGTAAGAGAGGACTCTGGTACACTCACCCAGTTCTCTCCAGTGGTACGCCTTACATAATTACAGTTCAGTATGAAAACCAGGAATTTACACTGGTACGTGTGCTGTGGTTCTGTGATTTTATCACATGTCCAGATTCTTGTAACCACTACTGCAGTTGAGATACAGAACGATGGGGCTGGCAGGCAGCATGGTGGTTAAGGGTGCAGGACTCCCACATGGCCGACCATGGTTCAAGTCCCACACCTGGTAGCTTGCTTTCTCACTCCCCCCCCTCCTTTACTCTGTCCCTTGCTCATCAAAATTTAAATAAATAAATAATGTTAAATAAAACAATTCTTGAAAAAAAGATACAGAACTGTTCCATCACCACATGGGTCTCATTTTTGCTGTCCCTTATACTGTCACCCACCTCCCTCACCATCACCACCACCTGCTGTCCCTAGTCACCAGCAACCATACAAAAGCTTTTATAGTTTATATACTGATGTAGCCAGTAGTGATCATCTATCACTTCTTCATTGGAAGAACATAGTTCCTAATAGTTGTAATACCTAACATTTATTGAACACGTAATATCAGTTGGGTACTATACTAAAATCTGAATTATTTCTGCGTTTTCTCATTTTATCTGCACAGTTGTCTGATGTAGTAAGTATTGTGTTTCTTGTCTTATTGATAAGGAAATAGAAGCTAACAAAGGTTAAGTGTCTTGCTCAGGGTGACTCATTTCTTAAGTTGCAGAGGCAGGATTTGAAATTAGGAATTGTGTCTCCACCTACTGCCCTACCGTGTTATTTAAACTCACTTGTCTATTTGGAGAAGTCCCACTTTTTATGTATGTTTAATATTTTTGTTTCTGTTCTTAAACTCAGTTTTACACTTAGTAATCCCTGTCTGATAATTCACTTTTCATTCCAGATAGCGATGTTTGTGGGAGTTCTCTCGTTCAGTATTGCAGTCTTGAACAAAGTAGAAATTGGATTGGATCAGTCTCTTTCAATGCCAGATGTAAGACATTCTCTTTTTTATTTTAACTTGTTAAGCTGATGAGAAATGAATTTTTTAATGCATGCATGTGGGATTTCAAGCTAATGCCCGCTTTAAAAGCAAGTGGTGACAGGTTCTCCAGTGTAGTGGGAACGGCCACGAAGTTCTGCCAACCCGGCCGGCATGGGCCACCTGCACTCTGAACTGTCAGACATCCTCTGGGGCACAGCTGCTGAGTGCAAGCAGCTGGTCGAATAGGAGGACCCCACGAGGTGTGCTCCTGATTGACTGGAGGCATCGACCAGAGGTCTCCTGGGCCCTCTCAACTCTCAGTGGCCTCATCTTGCTTAGTTATACTGTCAGAACGTTCATATTTCTCCTGTGCTCTGACTTTTCAGGACTCCTACGTAGTGGATTATTTCAAATCTCTCAGTCAGTACCTGCATGCAGGTCCACCTGTGTACTTTGTCCTGGAGGAAGGACATGACTATACTTCTCTGAGAGGGCAGAACATGGTGTGCGGCGGGACGGGCTGTGACAACAACTCCCTGGTGCAGCAACTGTTCGACGCGGCCCAGCTGGACAGCTAGTCAGTACCTCCTTCCTCCTGCACTTCACTGAAGCAATCCTGGGCCCTCCCTGAGGGCATCACTTGGGCCTGAAAATTCTCACTAAATTAGAATTTCTTGGAAGCATTGTTTTTATTCAAAATGTGTGTTTAATCTACATACCTGAGCAGGACCTTTTCGAGGACTAACTTAGCACCTAATACTTAGAAGGTTTTTGATGAAGTGCCAGTGTAGTTTCCTTTTGACTAGTAGCAATATACAGTGTAGAAAAGGAAATTAGGTTTTAAGAAAAGGTACTGAAACTGAAGACTTCCTCCCCGGGAATAAGCCAGTGATTGTTTTTCTCCTTTTCTCTAGTACCCGAATAGGCTTTGCGCCCTCGTCCTGGATCGATGATTACTTTGACTGGGTGAAGCCACAGTCTTCTTGCTGTAGAATCTATAATATCACTGACCAATTCTGCAACGCCTCAGGTACTTCATCTCCTCTTCCTGACATGTCCTGCTCTTCTGAACTACATTAACATGATCATCAAAACATCGCTTGGATTTCGCTTCAGTTTATGCCTTTAACTTATATGCTAGCGCTCAATCTTCTCCCCTTGGTTGTTTTTGCCTTCTCAGACTCTGAAAACTATCACGTTGTTCCTGTCTCAGACAAGCCCCCCTTCGGGCTGCAAGCTAAACAAGATGCATGTCAGGCAGGAGAGTCAGATTTCCAAATACAGTCTTGTCCTCCCCTGATTGCCTCTCAATTGGTATCTGGCCTTTCAGGCCACAGAGGCATGTTTTTCTGTTTATCACCAATGTGTTAAGGTTGTAAAAGTATGTGGAGAGCACCTTGGAATTTTTTTAATGAAAACATGGAAACCCTGGGCTCTGATAGTACCAGTGGAGGTCATCCTTAAAGCAGGAAACCTGCTAAGGGTAGAAAATGTATAATCTACTTAAGATGACAATGATATCTCTCTTAAACTGTGGATATCACACATGACTAAAGCTTTTGAATAAGAGAAAAGATCCAGGAAAATAATTTCCCTCATTTCTGTTTAAGTATTTCTAAATGTTTTTTAAACATCTGGAGTCACCTTCTAACGACTGGCTCCTCCCTGCCTGTTTCTGCTAGTGGTCGACCCTGCCTGTGTCCGCTGCAGGCCTCTGACTCCGGAGGGCAAACAGAGGCCTCAGGGTGGAGACTTCATGAGGTTCTTGCCCATGTTTCTTTCTGATAACCCCAACCCCAAGTGTGGCAAAGGGTAAGTGCCATTGAGCCATTTCAGATAAGTGTCCACCTCAATTTTAATCTGCAGTGGGAAATGAGAGGACTGGGGCAAAGACAGCTGTAGAGGAAAGGTCCTGTTCCCTACCCCACCCCGCCCCACCCTAATCCTTTTGTGAAAGTAGAGAAACTTAAAACACCTAGTTAAGGAAAGTCTTCATACTTTTTAACTGATTTCACCCTGGTTTGGGCATTCATTTCTTATGCTTCTCTCAGTGTCCTGGCCCCCTGGGTGTATGACTGGATGGAGTTTCCCACGCAAGTTACTAGGGAGGGACGGGGGGAGGGCTGCCACTCAGGTACCTCAGAATACAGATGAACTTGGTCTGTTCAGTTACGCCGGTGGGTACTTGGGACAGCAGCATGGCTTTGTCACCGTATCCCAGATTCAGGTTTAGATTCTTTTAGCCCCACCATGCTCCTTGCCAGCATATCCATATGAGGTTACGGGCTGTCTGCCCGTCAGGTTGAGCCAGCCACTTTACCCACAGAAGTAGGTTATCTGGCCAGAAATAGTGAAGGTGAATGGAAGTCTTCGGGTTGATTTGGAAGCTTTCATAGATAGAAGGTGAGTATCCACATTTATGTTAGGTAAACCCTGGAAACTCCTGTTTTCCCCAAGAATATGTATCTGGCCAGAGCCCTATCAGTTAGTTATGTATATCATGATTTTGCTTAGCCTTCGGTGTTCAGACTCAGGTGTTTCTCAAGGCAGGGCTTCTCACAACCACTGTTCTCTCAGGGGACATGCTGCTTACAGTTCGGCAGTTAACCTCCTCAACAATGGCACTGGTGTGGGCGCCACATACTTCATGACCTACCACACCGTGCTTCAGAACTCCACTGACTTTATTGATGCTATGAAGAAAGCTCGGCTCATAGCCAGTAACATCACCGAGACTATGGGAATCAACGGTAGTAATTACCGGGTCTTCCCATACAGGTAAAGCATGGACTTTTTTTTTTTTTTTTTTTTTTATGG